CTAGCTGAGAAGACATTCTTCACCACGCTCGACCTTATGTTGGGCTATTACCAGATCGAGCGGGAAGAAGCCTCCAGACCGTTCACCGCATTCGTAACCAATTTAGTAGCGCCACTTAGCAAGAGGGTGGTCAGCTACGTCGAAGAAGTGATAATCGCCAGTCACACCGAAGATGAAAATATTATATCTGAAAGAGTTTCTTGAGATCGTTGAGCGAGAAGGGTTGACGCTGAGATTGTCGAAGTGCGCGTTCATGAAGCGCGCAGTATCTTTTTTGGGGCACGAAGTAGAAGAGAATGGCGTTAAGCCAGGTGCTATGAAGACAGTGGCCATTAAAAACTTTCCCGTACCTCGAAACCAATTGGAGACTCGCCGATTCCTTGGGCTTACGGATTTCTTCCGTAAGTTCGTCAGCGGGTACGCGCTGATTGCAAAACCCCTCACTGAATTAACAAGGAAGAACATCGATTTTGTATGGTGTTCAACATGCGAAAATGCCTCTCGAAAATTGATTGGGCTGATCGCCAGTTCGCCAGTGGTTGCTATTTACGATGTAGCGAAAGAGCATGAGTTGCACACAGACGCTTCGAGCATGGGACTTGCTGCGATTCATTTACAGCGCGATGATGATGGTAACCCGAGAGCGGTAGCTTATTTTAGCAAGGCATGCACAGGCGCTAGGGCGGGAGTCTACATAACTTGAGACTGATTCCCTGTGAATGCCGTTCAGGGCCTGTCGGTAAGTTGACGGGTCCAGAGGTTGTTTGATATACCTCTGGACTACGTCTGTCAGTTCATACAGACGCCTCCTGACGTGCCGTGGCGAGGGCTCTTCCGCGAGCAGTTGCCCACTGGGATGGCCACGTCTGTGGCTCCCAGAGAGGAACTGCTTGCAGAGTATTATGTTATGCTCCTTTACAGGGAGCATCTGGGCCTCGTCATGGAGGTGGTGTTGAGGCGTCATCAGTAGGCATCCTGTCGCAGTTCGTAGTGCCGTGTTTTGGCAGGTCTACAGCTTCATCCACTGCGTCCTGCTAGTCCCCGGCGACCATAGGGCGCTGCTTAGTTTAGAACCGGCCGGCCAATTGGCTTGTTTGTTGCCAGCATCGTTTCTTTATCTTTGCCCCAAGTGCTGCCGGCCAGCGACTTGAGGAAATTGTTGCGGCTCTGTACTTTGTTAACAATTGCGGTTGTATGCGCCGAGAAGGAGAGCAGACTGTCGAAGGTAACTCCGAGGATTTTCGGGTTATTCACCGTCGGTATTGTTACGCCATCGACGCGAATAACCAGTGGCAGTCTCACCTCCTTCGTCCAGGTGGTGAAAAGGGTTGCCGAGGATTTCGCAGGGGATAGGGCAAGGCTCCTTGCAGTGAAGAAGCGAGAAAGTTCGGAGAGGTAACCGTTTACTTTTGAGCACAAGTCATCAATTCCATTCCCAGACGCCATGATCGAACAATCGTCAGCATACGAGACTATATTAACACCCTCTGGTGGCTGAGGAAGCTTTGATATGTAATAATTAAACAGTAGCGGGGACAGGACACCACCCTGTGGTACCCGCAGTTTAATTTTACGTGGCTTGCTAGATTTATCTCTGAAGATTACTGACGAGTGTCGACCACTCAGGTAATTCGCCGACCACCGTTTGAGTCCCTGTGGGAGTGAGGAGACCTCTATATCTTCTAGTAGCGTTGAATGACTGACAGTGTGGAACGCCTTGGACAGGTCCAACGCTACTAGAATTGTTCTCTCACAGCGGCGGTTTCGGTTTAGGCCACGAGTTATCTGAGTGTTTATGGCTTTAAGTGCTGTTGCTGTACTATGCACTTTACGGAACCCATGTTGATGCTTCGCTGGTGTCAGGTGGTTCGTGAAGTACGGGAGCAGCAGGGCCTCGAGTGTCTTCGCTACCGGGGAAAGGAGAGTTATCGGGCGATAAGACTCGCCTTTGTTGGCTGGTTTCCCCGGTGTGAGCAGTGGGACTACTCTCCCCATTTTCCAGATGTCTGGAATGACGAGAGTGGCCATAGACGGGTTGAGGACCTCCGTTAGGTGACCTACTCCCGCAGGACCCAAATTTTTCAGCATCAACATGCATATTCCGTCGGGTCCAATGGCTTTGGAGGCTTTCGCCTTCCCGATGGCTACCCTTACCTCACCGCTGGTGAAAACAAGAGGCGCACTAGGTGTTGGCGTTTTGTGCAGCCTTCTTGTCACTCGCCGTTTGGCTTTATCCACCGGACGATGCAGAATGAACTGCCGGCTAAAATAGCGCGCGCATCTCCCCGGGTCCGACGAAGCGTGGTCACCAAAGTCTATCTCGACTCTGTCGTCGCGCTTCGTCGGGTTGGACAACGACCTCACGGTTGACCAAAGCTTGCTCACACCAGAGACGAAGTTGCAGGTCTTCAGATGCTCTTCCCATTTCTTCCGCTTATGTACGTTCACAAGTTGCCGAATCTCCGAATTGAGATCCCTAATACGGGGATTTCCGGGATCGGCCTGACGAAGGTTGTCGCGCTCATCAGCTAGAACAGCCGCTTCGGCAGAAAAATACGGACGTGGATCCTTAATACATCCTGCTGGGATGAAGCGAGCTGCAGCAGCGGTGACAACCCTGCGGAACTTACGTTCACCCACATAAACGTCGGTTGGTATGGGTAGTGCAGTGAAGGCGCCCTCAGTAACATCCGTGAAGCCTTTCCAGTCAGCTTTGGGAAAGTTGACATAAGTCCGGTGATCCACGGAAGCAAAGTCGGCAGGTTTATCAATCAAGATGACTATGGGCAGATGGTCTGATACTAGAGTCAACATAGGTCGCCATGATACGCTGTTTATCAGACCAGCGCCGACAATTGTTAGATCTGGAGAGCTGCAGCAGCTGCCCATAATCCTGGTGGGTGCGTCGTCGTTCATTGTACAGAATGTCGAATCGTCTATCTGCTCAGCCAGATGTATTCCCCTACGATCATTTGACAGGCTTGAGTGCCAGAGATCGTGGTGCGCGTTAAAGTCACCAACTACCATACGGTTTTCACCTCTGAGTAGCGCACCTATTTCAGGGTGATATCCTGCCGGGCAGTTGGTGAGAGGGGGTATGTATACGTTAACTATTTCGAGCTCAACATCGCCTGACCGGATAGCAATACCCTGACATTCTAGGATGATATCCCTGCGGTATGTATATGTATGGTATGTCTGATTCAATGAGACGATACTGCACGGTGTGGTGCGTGATGAACGCTAAACCTCCACCATTATCTCGCTAGCGATCTCGACGGTGCACTTTGTATCCGGCGCAATTCAACAGGGTTGAATTGCCGTGCAACTTCGTCTCTTGGATCGCAGCTATTAATATTCCATGCCTTCCCATAAAGACAGTTATCTCCTCGATCTTGCTCTGGAGTCCGTTACAGTTAAATTGTAGCACCTTTGTGTGCCTTGGGAGACCGATTGTGATGTGTGGTGTTAAAGAGTTGTGTTGCCTGCCGGTCCCCTGCTGTACGTGCTGCAAAAGGGGGTGCTGCCTTGTGGTGGTGGTTGGCGGCGTCGCGGGGGAGGGATGCGACGGGGCAGCACAGCAGGGGCCCATATAGTCACTCGTCCAATCTCGTGTGTTGCGAAGTCCTGAGCACGCCCTAAAGTGGCACCAGCCGAGGCAAGAGTTACGCTTGACTGATGTTACGTTACGGTATATTCTGGACTGACAAACAGAGCATATTGTCGGAGGGACTAGGAGTTGCCGGCGGCGGTGTGTGGGTGCTATTGTGTTTGTTTGTGTTTCTATTGTTGTGTTGTGTTGGGGTGTGGGTGTGTTGATTGTGTGCTGTCCAGGCGGGTGGTGGTTTGCCGTGGAGGCGGTCCGGTTCGCACAGCATGGGGCCACGAACGACGTGGTAAATTGCCCTCGCGTGCGTAGGCCCGAGCAGTTACGAAGGTGACTCCACCCGTCACAGGCATTGCACCTGCCCGAGGTGGGGTTTGTATGCAGTCGTCTCTGGCATACGCAGCAGGTGTAGATTTCTGGCCCTGGGTTTGACTCTATGCCAGCCCTGAGCAGAAGGGTGCGGAGAAGGTGTAGCCCTAGGATCGAGCAACGTTTGATGGATTTCGCCGACCTAAACGGGGTTAGATCGCCGAAACAACAGCCCTTGGTCGGGTAAAACCTGAGTCATTTCGCTACGTAGAACCGGCTGTCGTGGGAATGAAATACTTACGTTCTTAAGTTTCAGTTGCTTTTTGATATTCAAATAAATAAGAACGCCTAGAACACATTTGAGAACTAACGTTTGAGATTTGAGAAAAGGACTGATTCTCAAATGCATCTCAAATTGAGATTTAACAGAAATGTTGATTGGGTTCATAGTTGGTAAAAAGTTTGAGTGAGTCGCTTCTCGCAAGCAGTTACTTGATCGTGTAGTGTCCAGTTTAACGACAGGTATTTTTGTAAGGGCTCTGTCACACGGTCAGTATTTATTGTCGTGATCCAAGTATCACGATATTTAGTGCCGGTGTATGCTACGGTATTGATGGATCGTGATCCATATCGCAAAATTTCTAAAAATTTTCAAATCTGGATAGCGGATTGCAATACTGTCAATAAATATTGAACATGTAGCACTTTCAAAACGCGATCCATACATTTCGTCAGTACATCTTGTACTCTCATAATGCCAACATCGAAAACGCATTCCCTATGCCTTCGCTCCCGGTGGTTAAAACCTTTCCAAACAAATTGAAAAAATTTGAATTAACATTGGTAATTTTAAAATATTTGTTGAATGCATTATCTGTAGATAATTCGTACAAAATATAAACATTTTTTTGCGTCGTAATAAGCGTTCAGCACAAAAATTATGCAAATACTGACGCGATCCATCAATCCATCAAAATGGATCGCGATGCGAATTTCGTGATAATTACTGCGCGTGAGACAGGGCCCTAATACAGAAATTTCGTTTATTTGGCAATGCTGTTTGTCATCGATATTTGCTTTCGACTTTTTTTAGAGTCTTGGTTCTTTTTATACAATAGCTTTTTTCATATGCTTCGAAGACGTGAAAAAAATTCGGGATTAAAATACTATTCCATAACATTTGATTTTTAAAACTAAATGGTGTCTTTCGAAAAGGAACTCTTATAACACTGTGAATATATTTACAACATTGTAATTAGTGGAATTCCTGCGTTTCATAAAAACAATTAGTGTCGAAAATATTAAAGCGATACTAATATCCCTTTTTGCAGAGGCGCTTGTGCAATTTTAAAACATTTGTTGCGAAAAAGGTATGCGCGAGAAACTAGTTATCAACATTTTATCTTTGATATGTGGGAATACATTGGCAGAACATGTGGGCTAGCATTGCACAAACGTTACCAAGCTAAATAAAAAAGTGCCATTTCAAAGTATAATGCATAATTAAGAAAATCATTCTAAAAGTTTTTTCCAAAATAACAAACAAAGCTTATTAAATCCTAGGTTGAATGCATTAATAACCTGGAAATTGTAATGTCGGAATACATAACACAAGGCGTGTGAAAAGGTGCAATTATATATTTATTTGTTTATAATAGAAAAGAACTTTCCAAGTATGAAATACCAAATATAAATACATATTACTATTTCGGGTAATTGTGCACTTCATGGTCGCCACCGATTATTGATGTTAAATAATCGAAGGGGGTGTCAATATTAAGAATCCGAAGGCGGAAACTGATTTTTTTAAACCGTCGGAAAGTTATTTCCCAAAAAACCGTTTCATTCAGCTCAACTTTGGCAGTACTAAATTCACGTTAATAAATGCATTAAATGAACACATATTGGTATCTATATGTTCACTAAATTTATAATAAAAAATCGGGTAATATTGATTTATTTAAATATTAATGCGAAAACAATATACCAAAAACCGGCGTCTTGTTGTTGTTGTAGCGGCGACTAAGCCTCGCTCGGTTCGTTTCATCCGTCAACGTTGTCGTCTGCTTCAGCTATGGGGAGGCCCAGGAAGTGTGCGACTTCAACAAGGTCTATCCATAAGAACAGGGTCGTCAGCTGGGTGGGGTTCTCAAGCCATGTGAAGAAGTGCCGAGAGTCATGGGGCGACTCTCCACATGCCGGGAATTGGTTGGGCACATCCTCATTAATTCTGCTCAGGTATGAGTTTAGCCTGCTGTAATAGCCAGAGCGAAGTTGGGCTATTGTGGTGCGGGTATCCCGAGGCAGACAAAGTTCCGTCCCGTCCACGCCAGGTGGTTGTGTGCCTATAACGTCATTCACAGGACGGTAGTCTACATAACTCGATACTGATTCCCGTGAATGCCGTTCAGGGCCTGTCGGTAGGCTGACGGATCCAGAGGTTGTTAAATGAACCTCTGGAATTCGTTCGTCAGTCCGTCGAGATGCCTCCTGACATGCCTTGGCGAGGGCTCTTCTGCAAGCAGCTGTTTGCTAGGATGACCACATCTGTGGCTCCCCACAAGGAACTGTTTGCAGAGCATTGTGTTATGTTCCTTGACTGGGAGCATCTGGGCCTCGTCGTGTAGGTGGTGTTGGGGCGTCATCAGGAGGCATCCGGTCGCTCTCCGTAGTGCCGTATTCTGGCAAGTCTGTAGCTTCATCCACTGCGTCCTGCTAGTCCCAGGCGCCCACACGAGCGCTGCATAGTTTAGAACCGGCCGGCCAATTGATTGGATGTTGCCAACAACGGCCAGCGACTTGAGGACATTATTGCGGTTCTGTACTTTGGTTACAATTGCGGTTGTATGATATTTGGTACCTGCGCCTGGTAAATAAACTTGTAATTAATCATGCTAGCTCGGTTCACCAAATATCCCGCCCAGATCTCATAGCATTCACATTGAATGCGTACATGAAAAATATATATTTATTTATGCATATGAAAGCAAAGAAACGAGAAAAAATAAAATATTTCTATAAAAATACACCTATTATGTATGTATCGCGTGCAGGGAAATCATCTCGGGGGAAATTCCCCCGATTTGAAGGAAATTTCAGTTTAGGTGGCAATCAAGGATTTGGCTGTTTTTTGCGAGAATTGGGTATGTTATGTTGATAACTTAAAGTAAACCAAATACACGAATATGTTAATTTTTAACCAATAGCGACACTATTCGGAGCTACTTTTTTTGAATTTGAATTGCAATATCTCCGCAAGAATAGTTTTCCCAGATATAAATTATATACCAAATGAAAGCTAAGGTTTAAAACTAGACTTGAGGCGGCTTAGAATAAAATCGACTGACCAGTTTTTGAGAAAATGCCCGAAATCTATATTTTAAGCAGCCCAATTTCTGGTTTTCAGGCGACAACGTTATGACATATTTGTATTTCATAAACGCAAAAGACTACGTTATATAGCTGGTTTAAGACCTTTCTACTGATATCCAAATCAATGGTATGGAATGAGTAGTGCGGTCTCAGTGTTATTTTAAAAATATGCTATTTATTTTGAATTTCAGGCACCAGCCACGCCAACAAAGGCATACGAATAGTTTTTTTTTCTTTAATTTCTGAAAGTGTGAAAAAAATTAAATTAAGGTACGTACAGACGCCACATATATACTAAAGCATGTGGAGACACGAACCAAAATCTTTGCAACTAGTAGCCGGAACTCAATATATAAGGTATCGTTTAAAAGGTATTCAACTATAGACTAACACTAAATATGTTGGGTGTACCCACATACCCCTTTAGTTTAGATTAGGTTGTCGCGGTCGTCTATAAGACACACTTAGGCTCAGAGCCCATTGTGATGCCGCATGTAGGGTAAGCACTTTGAACGAATTTTAGAAGATCCCTGATTTCGACCCATCTAAGGTCCTCCAAGTTGCTGAAGAATTGCCTACCGAGAGTGGAGAGTCTTCGTCTGGATAGAGCAGGGCACTCGCACAACAGGTGCAGAATCGTTTCCTCCTCTTCATCTTGACAGCTTCTACACAAGTCATGTAAACGTAGGCCAAGTCGATAGGCACGCTTGCTAATTAGGCAGTGTCCTGTTATGACAGATACTAATAATCCAATATGGGGCTTATTTAGGAATTTTGGTGCCAAGTCACGCCAGTTCGTCGGCCTTACAATTCCCCTCTATACCGCAGTGACCCGAAACCACATATCTCCTTTGGGCGAAATGACTCTGCCATCTCGTTAAGAGATGCGCGGCATTTCATGGCTACGATGGAGGTTGTCGACTGCTTCGTGAGGGACTTTATTGCCTCCTGGCTTTACCAGTTTCCTGGCCCTGTCGATTGCCATCAGTTCAGCCAGAAAAACGCTGCAGTGGACCGGAAGACGAAAGACATTCCCACGACAGCCGGTTCTACGTACCGGAATGACTCGGGTTTCACCCGACCAAGGGCTGTTGTTTCGGCGATCTAACCCCGTTTAGGTCGGCGAAGTGTCTCAGAAGTTGTCCGTCCATAGGGCAACATTCAGTACGCATTCTCCTACTCAGGGCTGGCATCGAGTCAAACCCTGGGCCAGATATATACACCTGCTGTGTATGCCGAAGACGATTACACCACAACTCCACCTCAGTCAAGTGTAATGCCTGCGAGGGGTGGAGTCAGGGTCTGCTCGGGACTACGGACACACAGACAGTGGACCACGTCGTACGTGGCCCCCTGTTGCTCAAACAGAGCAGCCTCCACGGCAAACCATAGTCCGCCCGTGCAGCCCCACACACTCACACAGCAACCACACACAGTCGCCACAACACAACAACATAATAACACCACCGACCGTACCACAGCCACCACAGACCACATAACACACACAACCGCACCACCACCCACACGCCGCCGCCAACAACTGGTTCCCCCTACAATCTGCACGGTATGTCAGACCAGAATATTCCGTAATGTGACATTTGTCAAGTGCAACACCTGCCTTGGCTGGTGCCACTTTAGGGCATGTTCAGGTCTGCGTACCACGCGAGATTGGACGGGGAACTTCGAGGGCCCGTGTTGCGCTGCTCGGTCGCAGACGTCAATTGCGACGCCCCCCACCACCACCACGGGGCGGCAATCACCTCAGCAGCACACACAGCCAACGGCGGCAAGAACATACACTTACACCCCACATCACGACACGTCTCCCGAACCACATGAAGCTCCTGCAATTCAACTGTAACGGGCTACAGAGCAAGATTGAGGAGATAACCGTCTTCATTTGTCGGTATGGTATATTAATAGCTGCGGTCCAAGAGCCGAAGTTGCACAGCAATTCAACTTTGTTGAATTGCGCCGGGTACAACGTGCACCGTCGAGATCGCGAGCGAGATAATGGTGGTGGCTTAGCGTTCATCACGCACCACACCGTGCAGTATCGTCTTATCGAAGCAGACATCGACCGCAGGGATACCACCCTAGAATGTCAGGGCATCGCTATCCGGTCAGGAGATGTCGAGCTCGAAATATTTAATATATACATACCCCCTGTCACCTGCTGCCCGGCAGGATATCACCCTGATATAGGTGCGCTCCTCAGAGGTGAAAACCGTATGGTAGTAGGTGACTTTAATGCGCACCACGATCTTTGGCACTCAAGCCTGTCAAACGACCGTAGGGGAACAGACTTGGCTGAGCAGATAGACGATTCGACATTCTGCACAATGAACGACGACGCACCCACCAGGATTATGGGTAACTGCAGTAGCTCGCCAGACATCACAATATTCAGCGCTGGTCTGATAAACAGCATAACGTGGCGACCTATGCTGACTCTAGCATCAGACCATCTACCCATAGTCATCTCGATTGATAAGCCAACCGACTTTGCCTCCGCCAAACACCGGACCTATATCAACTTTTCCAAAGCTGATTGGATAGGTTACGCGGAGTTTACCGAAAACACCTTCGCAGCGCTCCGCACACCAATCGACGTCCATCTCGGTGAACATAAGTTCCGCAGGGCTATCACGGCTGCTGCAGCTCGCTTCATACCGGCAGGACGTATATCGGACCCACGTCCAAACTTCCCTGCCGAAGCGGCTGTTCTAGCTGATGAGCGTGATAGCCTTCGTCAGGCCGATCCCGGAGATCCCCGTATCAGGCATCTCTACGCGGAGATTCGGCAACTTGTAAACGTACATAAGCGGAAGAAGTGGGAGGAGCACCTGAAGACTTGTAATTTCACCTCTGTTGTGAGCAAGCTTTGGTCAACCGTGAGGTCATTGTCTAATCCGACGAAGCACGACGAGAGAGTCGAAATTTCCTTCGGCGACCATGCCTCGTCGGACCCGGAGCGATGCGCGAGCTATTTTAGCCGGCAGTTCATACTGCATCCTCCGGTAGACAAAGCCAAGCGTCGAGTGACCAGAAGGCTGCACAAACTGCCAACAACTTGTGCCCCCCTTGCTTTCACTTGCGGTGAAGTTCAGGTGGCCATCGGGAAGGCGAAAGCCTCCAAAGCCATGGGTCCCGACGGTATATGCATGCTGATGCTGAAAAATTTGGGTCCTGCGGGGGTAGCTTACCTAACGGAGGTCCTCAATTTGTCAATGGCCACTCTCATCATCCCAGACA